CGAATAGCAGAAGTTAATGCTGAGCATACCATATACAGTAGTCTCCGCCTAAGATCCTAAGATCCCACCGCATACGATCCCGGTTCGTCTAAGATCCTGCCATTTTAAGGAAACAGAATTTTTACGAGGGACGTCTAGAAAGTAAGTACCGTTTTAAAATAATTATAAAAGAAATAATTTTCCCAATCAAAACGATTTATTTCTGAATACCTCATATATATGACTATTTCTCCACGTAGTCACCAGAACTGTTGAGGCATTTGTCGTAGCGTGGGACACGCTTCTGAATGCCCTCATCATAGAAAGCTGTCGCCTGCGATGTCAGCCAATGTCCAGTCTCTCCTGTGAGATCAGCATTTGAGTCGAAGTCCTGCCCGGCCAAAAACTTTTTTCAAAAGCAGGAACAGATGAAAGTCCCTCAGAGCCAGGTCTGGACTGTACGATGGGTGCTTCAACTGTTCCCATAAGAAGGAGGCGGTCAGGTTTTGGGTCTGTGCAGACTTGTGAGGAGTTGCATTGTCATGAAGCAGAACAACGCCGTCACTAAGCATTTCGTGTCTTTTGTTTTAAATCTCTCTAAGCAGTTTTTTAAGTGTGTTGCAGTACACATCAGAGTTAATTGTCATCTCATTTCCCCAAAATTCTACTAAAAGAACTCCTTGCCTGTCCCAAAACACTGTACACATCACTTTTTTTCCTGACGCAGCCTGCGTAGAGCGTTACGACAAATGTCTCAGCAGTGCTGGTGACTACATGGAGAAGTAGTCATATATATATATGAGGAATTCAAAAATTCGTTTTGATTTGGAAAATTATTTCTTTTATAATTATTTTTAAACGCTACTTACTTTCTGGATGCCCTTTGCACTATACAAAAGTCACCACTAAGATCCCGCTCTGATTCACTCTGAAGGTCTGAATTCAGCTAAGATCCTGCATTTCTGAATATAATTTACAGAACAAAAACCCAGCCGATCAACCAGGAGTGAAAAGTTGAGGTCATTGAACAGCCAATCGCGTCAACAAAGATCAGCCACTCTCGTGAATGTGATTACATAAAAAGCGTTGTAAAATTCGATGAAACGGTACAATGTTTGCCTCAGATGGGACCACATTGCGATGTGTGAAATGACTGACACATTTGTTTTCCTCAAACATCGCACTCGCATCTGAGCTCTCCACCTAAACTTATATCACTTTGCTCCAGGTGGGATCACATTGAACTGTGAACTCTTCCATGACCATTAAAGCAGTTTTCTCTATTCCCGAATTTGCGAGACAAACTGAATTTTAATTGGTGTAGTCACAACGTAATGGTGCAAAACGACAACGGCGGGGGAACTCGGTCAGAGATAGAAAGCTTAGCTATAATTTTTGACAGATAAAGGGGAGGGGCAACTGGATAAGCGTAGATCTTGAGACTCATGATACAATAATAAGTGTAAATGGCATGCCTCATGCCACTATGTACTGCGATAAGTCATCACAGTTAACAACTTTTGGCTTGCCATATGTCATAAACCCACCCAGGGGTTACGTCTGTTCATTTAGAGTAGAGGGAGACCATTTTACCAATTGTGAGCCTTAGCATGGATCACCATAGATTCTTCCCTGGGTTTGTCAGCTAAGATCCTGGTAGCCTAAGACCCTGCATTTTCCTTGCTCCCAAGCACTGGGATCTTAGGCGGAGACTACTGTATAAGAAAAAAACATTCGACAGCGCTGTGAATAGTTAACGAATGTTGAACGGCGGAAAATAATTAGGGCTGGATTTATCATACAGAACAAAAAATCATTTAACAGCTCTGCGAATAGCGGAAGTCATGTTGGGCTAATTATGTACAGTTGAACCTGTGTAAGATGACCACACATTGGGGAAAAGTGGCAGTGTAAGGCAGGACTGATTTTTTAAATTTCATTTTAATAGTTACTCCTGAGGTCCCAACTGGAGGCGGTTGCATGCTTAGGACTGCCCTAGGGCTGATTAAAATGTGTTGTTGTTGTCCTCGTCGTTTTATTTCTTTTGAAGGGGGGAGAGGACAGGACAGTTTTTGCAGGACTTTTTGTTTTGAGTTTTATTCAATTTTAAATTATTGTTCCGGGAAAGGTCAAAACAAAATGAAATGTTTCAGACGAGGAAGGCCGAGTGTCATAGTAAAACATACAAATGGGTCGCCACCACTCAGCGAACAAGCGACACTTTTGTCGCCAGTTTGTGTTGACTTCCATTGTTATGGGTTGGGTTTACCGACTGAGTTGTGGGCAGGGCTTATAGGTTATGACGGATCACATGCTTCCCTTACCAGCAGCTGAAAATTAATTATTGTTACCCATTGGTCAACTTGTGTAAACATTGGAGTGACCTAAGCAACATGACCGTTTCATCCATTGGAGGGACTGACATTGACAACAACGACAGGTAAATGAATTCTGACGGCTTATCCACAAACGTGGTTTGTGGGGAAAATGTATATTTTTAACAAAGTCTGGCCGCCTTAGGCAGGTAGATTTGGCTGTGGGTTGATAAAATAAGGTGGCCGAAGCCGTGTTGGACAGGTGCCCGTTTTACACAGTTAAGTTATATAGAAAAAACGCAAGGGGGGAAATGGAAAGTGGCCGTTTGTACAGGTGGCCGTGTCCTCATGGCAGATTGGACTGCATTATAAGAAAAAAACACTCAACGGCACTGTGAATATTTAGCAAATGTTGGATAGCGGAAGTTAGGGACGGACTTATCATTAAAAAAAACATTCAACGGAAATAGTCGAATGACAAGAATAGTGAGCTCACAATTTGAGGCTTTTATGAAGTTTTGTTTCCTCATAATCGCACAGCACTACCATGCACACTGTTGCAACTGTTAGGCCTATTTGTCAAAAATCATTTGAATAAATACAATAAAAAAAGCGAAGTGAGTATTTCTCCAAACGCTCTGGAAAATAAAGTTGAACTTTATTTCTCTGAACGGTTTCTGATCGAGATTTTTTGGTTATTTGCAAGATTTAGACGTCATCCTTTCATTCTGCCATTCTGCGAGACTGGGAGGAAGCATTTTTTGCATGGAATTCAATTTCTAGAGCTGGAGATTTTTAAATGTCTGAATATTCAGACTCTTCAGTTGTGGTTGGGGCAACGTTCCCAGACTATACTTCATTTGAAAATATCTTCAAAAGGAAGTACGAGAAAACAAGACTGCTCGACCTTTGCAGTAACCTATTTTGCATTTAGTCACCCAGCAAAAACTAAAATCTTTCATGTAAAAAAAAAAAAATCCCTACACCCCACCCCGTTCACACCTTACACACACACTCACACAAACACACACAAGGGCCACTCCATTCGCTTATTATCAACAAATCTGAAGAACGGTATAACAAGTTCAGAGAAATAAAGTTGAAGTTTATTTTCACAAACGTTCGGAGAAATAGAGCCAGCCATTATGGCCTAAAAAAAGAGGAAAATGTATCTTCAATCTAAAGACACAATCTACATTATTGACTCTTACAAGTTGTAAGTAAATTATTATGGCCTGCTTCGTCACAGCAAGTTTCGTTCAAAATATGAAAAATAATAATAATAATAATAATAAGAGCATTTGTATCCCGCCTTTCCCCACAGCATGGGCCCAAGGCGTACATAGGAGATTAAAAACGCATTCATACTAACACCATACAAATTCATCGTGTGCGCACTTTTTGACAGCAACATTCTTTCAAACAATAAAAAATGCTCATACAAAAAGGCAAAGGTACTGTCCATTAATTTAAATATTTCCAAAATAGATGTGTTTTGAGTCCCCTTTTGAAAGTGTCAAGTTTTATTTCGCTCTTCAAATCATGAGGGAGAGTATTCCAAACTGTTGGCCCAGAAAAAGAAAAGCTCTCTCACCATATATTTCTTCAGTGACACACGAGGTGTTGAAATTAGTCTAGAGCCACTGGATCTTAGTTCACGAGATGGTGTGTAAGGTACAATCATAACATTGAGTTCTTGAATGTATGTGGGAGACTGGTTAGTTTGACCTTTAAAGCATAGTAGGACTAACTTATATTCAATTCTTGCTTTCAGTGGAAGCTAATGGAGCTCTTTAAGTAGGGGAGTCACATGATGGCAAATATATTCGCATTTAAGCTACTTAAAAGCAAGTATAAGAAAGATCTATTAGCCACATTTTAGTTTAGTTTTAGTAGAGGTTTTACGGCGCTCGCAACTGCATAAGGCATAAGGTCATATGAGGGCCAAAGGGGTGGAAGTCAACAGAGACCAAGTCCTTACAGGGATATATATATATATATATATATATATATATATATAGAGAGAGAGAGAGAGAGAGATATATATATATATATATATATATCATATACATATATATATATAGAGAGAGAGAGAGAGAGAGAGAGAGATATATATATATATATATATATATAGAGAGAGAGAGAGAGAGAGATATATATATATATATATATATATAGATAGATAGATAGATAGATAGATAGATAGATAGATAGATAGATAGATAGATAGATAGATATAGATAGATAGATAGATAGATAGATAGATAGATAGATAGATAGATAGATAGATAGATAGATAGATAGATAGATAGATAGATAGATAGATAGATAGATATATATATATATATATATAGAGAGAGAGAGAGAGAGAGAGAGAGAGAGAGAGATCTATATATATATATAGATAGATAGATAGATAGATAGATAGATAGATAGATAGATAGATAGATAGATAGATAGATGGATAGATATATAATATAGCCTAGACATAGACCTTGACAATGTGGAAAACAAGAAAAACCAATCATACAGCATAATTATATATATATATATGTATATATATATATATATCTAGATCTAGAAATCTAGATAAATTATAAATAGACCTAGATCTAGATCTCTATGAAGTTAGTAGGGTGTTCTGAGACAGACTAATCTAGATCTAGAGTCTATAAGGGTTCATATTATTCTACTGATATGACCTACCGATGCCGAGTCCAAAGGCAAGGTTGAGAGCAACAGAGAATCAAATGGCTAAGGGGGAATTTATATATATCTAGGAACTCCTCCAGCACCGACCCCAAGTCACAAAAGAGGAGAGAATGAACTTTGGACCATTCAGTTCAGGTGCCAATTGGCTAGCCTAGATCACGCAGTCAGACTAGACTGATGAGGAGAGAAAAAGAAAGGGCAGAGTTCATCGCGACACAGCAGAATTTGTTACCCCGAGGCTAGCCTAGGCCTACTAGGCTAACATCAAAGATATATATAGATTTAGATCTAGGATCTATTGTCTAATTTTCTCTAATTTCTGCTTCTTCGACTGCGAAAACCAAAGAGTAATTAAAGAGATCTAGACTAAAATTAAATCTAGATTCTAGATCTAACAAAAACCAGAATCCAGACATTTGCGATTTCGAAGATTCCAAAGAAAAGAAAACAGCACTCGGTTGTTTAGCCAAGCGGCGTACGTTAGATCTGACGTTGTTGATAATAACAAATTTTGTTCTCTGGCTAGAGTGTTGAATTTGAACGTCAAATACATACAAATCTAAGGAAAAGGTCGCCTAATACCGGTAATATCATTATTGTTTGATTATAAGTTTCCCAGACCTCTTACCGTGTGTGATCCAGTGAAGATGCACTGCATAAACAAACGTAGCGGACGGGCGGGGGAAAAGGTCAATAACTGTACTGTGCAGATCAGTTGAGATAAGGTCAAAGTTCAACTCTCTGTTGGGTCATTGGGTCATTGGTTGAACGGTTGAACTCCGCGGTTCAGGGAGCCTGCATTATGCTAGATAGGCCTAGATCAATAATAGGCTGAGATTGAGTCGAAGGTTGGAAAGTTTTTGTAGTTTTTACATTTAGACAAAAAGCATTATTCATTCCCTCTGAAAATTTATAGTGCTTTTGAAAAGTAGTTTGATGCTTTTAAGTTTATGACAACCTGCTGTCTAACTTTACTGCTTCTCCGCGTATGTGTCCAGTTGTGTCCTGGGTCCAGGCCAAGAGATGACCTCAGCAGCGGAAGTGGGGGCAAAGAAAGCGAAAGTGTAAACATAGGCCCAAAACTGAAAAGGCTGTCAGAAGAATCAACTCTCGGGGCCACTGCGTGTGTCAACCTATTCCTGGTCTAGTTGTTATCTGTTACAGTTACAGGTCAGAGTACGCGATAACGGTGACTGCTCTTTTCAAAGAGCGAAAGCAAGGGCGATGCATGAGTGCTCTGCTAAAGCGAGGGAGTGTACTATAAAATGTGTAGGTGTGAGAAAACAGAACAAGTGGGGGAATGATCTCTTCGTCTTCTGCCTTTTGCCAATAGCCTAGGCCTATAATCTAGATAGTAGGCCTATAGACCAAGGCCAACCATTACTAACTAGGCCTGCTTCTTTTCCATTTTTCGTTACTTTTAATTTATAAGTCCCTTTCCAGTTGTTTTTTAAACCTTGGAATTGGAAGCAAGCTTTATTATACTTTCACTTTTTTATGATTGTTAAATTCAATATCAACATTGATGATATAAATAAGGCGCATAAGGCCTAAATCTAGATCTAGATCTATCTAGATTCTATATTAGGCTTATAGATTTATATACTCTAGAATATATTTTTTTAACAGATTAAAGGGTTCACACTTGTAATTACTTCTTCACTTAATCTCAACCTTTGTCCTTTTGAGTTAGTCCAATGTCTTCTTCTAGGCCTGTTTCTTAAAACTTTTGGTCTGAAGCACTTACAGTGGAAACCTGGTATAACAGGGATGGTGGGACTAGAGAAAAAGTCCTGTTATATAAGATCCCTGTTAAATCAGAAATGCAAGGGAAGTAAACATTTGTGAACTTATCCAGCTGTATTTATTCATGGGTAGTTTCCCCTGCACACCTCAGCCCTCTTTCATGGCCATGTGGCAGGCCTCTTCATCATTGCCATTCTCACCCTGGATCAGGATATAGGCCTCGAACAAACACTTTTCACCGTTCCCTATCCTGGGCTAGTCGCTTGGTGTCACTCCACATCTTCCCACTTTTCTGTTCATCCATTTCCGTGACTCTTCTCCTGGTTCCACGTTGTCTTCCCCTTGATCTTTTACCCTGTGGGTTCCAATCTAACAATTTCCTTGTTATGCAGCTGCTTGACTTCCTGAAAGTGTGTCTAATCCATCGCCAAGGTCTTCTTCCCACCTCTTCTCTTACTGGGCTCTGTCTCGTTCTTCTTAATGCTTCCTCGCTGGTGATGCTGTCTGTCCATTTGATCCTCAGTTGCTTCCTAAGACACTTGTTTAAGAAAACCTGGATCCTCTTTTTGCACGTCTGAGATGCATTCCGCGTCACACATCCATACAACAAGACTGACTCTGTGTGGCAGGCCTGCGCATGACACATTAGGCGTACGTGTAGCTAGGCAAAGTCTGCAGCACACCGCAGCCCTCTCTCGCTTCACCTGCTGCGTGTGCTTGCAGTTGCCATGGCGTGAGCTTGCTCCATCACTCTCTCTCACTTCTTACACATTGCTAAAGAGCCTTTGTCCCTGCTATAACCCCTGTTATTGCAGATAACTTTTAATATTGACAAAGAGTAGGAAAAAACGGGGATTTAAAAATTCCCTGTTATTACCAAATCCCTGTTATTATCGGGCCTGTTATATATATATATGGTTTCCACTGTATATATATATTGCCTTCCTTAGGTAACGAAGACTACTAGAGATCTATTAATTTAAACCTGCAGTTATCATCAGAAACTGTAGTCAACTGGAAAAGGAGAGGGGGGGGGATATTTTGGTGGGTTTTTTTATTTCAGGGTTTACAATTTATTAATGAGTTATATTTATTCCGAGGAAAAATTGGCCAACCTAAAAATACGTTCAAAGCCAATATAAAAAAACTGCTTACTTTAATATAGTAGGCTAGAAAGTGATAGTGGCCAGTTGACAGTTGCTGTTACGGTAGACCTTTTTATATCATATATATAAGTCTCAATTTCCTCGTTGTCTTGCTCTGATGTTGGTGCATATATTTGGATGACACACCTATGTCAAAAGGCTTTCCTTCAGCCATGACACACCCCAGTGGTCATAGTGACCATCAGGGGCGGTTTGTAAACTGGGCAAGACCGGCGGTGCCGGTCAAATTTTTGTCAGCTGGACTGTTGACAAGAGATTTATTGCTGATGATGATTTTCATTCAGTTTTAAATAAATCAGAATAAACATGTATCAATATTCAAAGAGCACCTTTCCGATTTGAAGGCGTTCAAATAGACAAGTGGGATTCACTGCTGTTTTTGTCGCGACAGAGCTTCATTCCTTCACCTTTGTTTATCGCACCGGCTCGTAACTTTAAATCGTCTCCCGTCAAGCCGTCACGTCGCGGAACTTCGTACGTGGACAAACGAACACGGCGAGTACGATGAAGTCAGTCCTGTGGACGAAACCATCGACTGCCTTAAGACTACTAAGAGCGAATATACAGCATTCCTTGATTGCCAAGTTGGCCTCCGTGTTGCTTACAAAATGAGACTGTCTTGAGTCTTGAGCAGCACAGACACATGAAATATCTTATCAGCAATACATGTACTTATTATCCAGCCTTTCTCTAACTATCATGAGAACATTCATTGTCAGCATGGCACTAATCTTTTTTGTGTATTGAATTTTTAGCCACCTATAGTTCTTGTTTGGTGACTATTCATCGCTTTCTCCCCACTAATAACGTACCTGGCCCATTTGAGTCTAGCCGGCGAAAAGAGGAATCGTCTAGTGAAAATATATAAGGCGACTTATAACGAGGAGCGACTGGCTCTCGGCTGTCAGGGTCTGGACCAAAAACAATGGGCCTACCCCCTCCTTTCCCTCTCCTTATCCACCGTCACCCCAGCTAGACACCAAGTTCTATAATAAGCATTTGACAGACTTCCCCACTTTGTTACAACAGTGTTCTGAGAACTGAGAAGTGTGATGAAGAACGTTTGATTACATAATGATGGGAAACTGTTGTGCGCTAACTTTGTCCAACTTTTTATAGTATCTGATTGTAGACTTAATCTGCATTGGACAGCGTCATTGGTACAGTATCAATTGACTTTTTGCCATCATACAGTGCTGTTCTTATTACATATTTAAAGGTCGATATTGTGTGTGGGTGTGTAGAAAGTAATAGAACCGGAGGCCATGACTAGCAGTTTATTGTGCTTCTCACTTTCAGTTTGTTTTCTAGCATAGACTCTAGTAGTGTTTCTTTTTCTATGCCGTTCAAGTCAGTTTCTATTAACTCAGTAACTTCCATCATACATTAATCATAATATTGTTTCTTGACACTACCATATTTCAGCTCTTTCACATAATATTAAAATGTTTACTGTGATGGTGTGTGTGTGAGTGGGGGAGGGGGTGGGGATGGCGAAAGTAGGGGTATAAAATGGGGAGAGAGAGAGAGAGAGAGAGAATGTGTTTGTGTGTGTGTGTTGTGAAGGAAGGGGGTGGGGGGAGGAAGAAAGAGTCTATGTGAATGAATGCCGGTCAGTTCTATAAACCATGAGCCGCCACTGGTGACCATGTACCAGTCATGTGTAAAATGCAGATGAGACTGAAGAAACTTAAAAAGTCAAAGTACCAAGCAAAATTAGAGCTGAAGAAAGTTTCTCCATAGATGTAAGCAATAAATTTCAAGCTCTGGAGAACATTACTAAATTGGAAGAACTGTGGAGGAAAATGAAAGACTCAATAATGGAAGCTGTGGAAGAAAATGTCCCCCCGAAAGTCCGCTTCTTCCTTCCAGAAGGGTTTAGGAAGTTTACGAGCACCCTAAGGGATACTTTGTTTGGCTGCTTTTAAAATGGCCTCAGTTAGGCACATGTTTAATTTTGTGGCGTCCATCATGTTAGGCATGTCATTTGCTGAAGTCTCTGTTTCCATGAGGGCTTTGAACAACGACCAGTCAGCCTTCTTGAAGGACCATTTGGCTTTGCTCCTACGAGTGGGGGCAGAGTGTCTACAGAGTTTGATTTTGATGGTTTTGTGGTGTCACTGGTTTGCGAAGAGACATAAGCTACCTGTGAAACATGCAAGAAGGAAATATCAGGGACTGATTTGAGCATACTGCTCGGGTCGATTCTTGTTTCGCAGCCATCATTGAGGGCAATCATATCATTGTTGAAGGCCCAGTCATCAATTTCTGTTCCGGTGGCACACTGATCGACGTAAGGGTCCCACGAAGGGTGAGGGCAGTTGAAATCACCTACGACGATGGTGTTTGCATCAGTCTTGAGTATGTGGGGAATGAAGTTACCTTTGTGGCGTGGCGGGATGTACAGGTTGACGACTTTATGGGTTCTGCCGGGCAAGTACAATAAGTGTGCCTACGAACTCTGTTGTGAAGTCAGGGTTGGCAACTACTCCATCAGGAATCGGTGGTAGGTAATACCATCTTTAATTAATGTCGCGACCCCGCCTCCAATATTTCCGCCATCTCTGTCACTTCGTTCAATAGAGTAACCAGGTACACAAATGTCTATATTTGGGCATAACCATGTCTCTTGAAAGCAGATAATGTCTGGGTGATTGGTGTCGATGTGCCGAAGGAGCTCAATTTTGGCACTGGGCAGGCCTCTGATATTCCATTGGAGGATGTATAGGGCTTGATTGTTCTGCTTCTTCATACGGCGGGTGCGCTCATGGTTCCTGGCATTAGAGTCAGTGCAACGGTTTTTACGGCGCAATTGTCTGACGTGCCGTTGTCGAGTCATGGGTCGGTTTGGGTGGAGTTGTGGTGGAGGCATGTAGACGGGTTGTGATGGAGGCGTGTAGGCGTGTAGACGGGTTGTGATGGAGGCGTGTAGACGGGTTGTGATGGAGGCGTGTAGACGGGTTGTGGTGGAGGCGTGTTGATGGGTTGTGTCGCTGCTCGTAGCGGAGGTTGCGCCGCTGTAATCCTACAGGAGGGGCACGTCCATTCTGCGGTAATGCGTCTTCCCTTCTTCGTTGATGGCAGGCTTAGCATCTGTTGTCGGGTGAGGTCAGAGCATTGGAGGTGGACCCACAGAAGACACTTCCGACACGGGGCCGATATTGATTTTGCAGGCACACTGTCGCCACATACTCCACAGGGCCAACGGGGTCCCAGATTCTGCTCCACGTCCCAGGCCAAGATCAGCAGGTGGGCCAGCCAGTCCGGGCTATGCTGGCCGCCAAGGAAAAACCCGGGCGGGTTGTTGAGGTCCTGATGTTCCAGGTGGTTGGACGTGTTCTGCAGCTGTCGTCTCAGTTTGTCGGTTGGTAAACTAACATCCCTCAGCAACAGCTGGTGGGAGCACCATCTTGCAGGCTCGTCATTCATTCCCCCCTCGTAGATGGAAAAGATCTAAGAATTATCAGGAATTTGTACTGGGACCAAAATGCTGCTGTACGAATTAATGGAGAATGCAGTGAATATAAGCAGATTAGGAGAGAAGTGAGGCAAGGATGTGTTATGTCACCAGAGCTCTTTAACATGTACAGTGAAACAATCCTTTAGAAACTTAGAAGAATGTCCAGGTCTCAAAGTAAATGGAGAAAATATTAATAACAACAGATATGGAGATGACACCGTTTAAATAGCAGACTCAGAAAAGGACCTTCAATTGCTTCTAGATACTGTTATAACAGAAAGTGAACTTAAAGGATTAGTGTTGAATGTAAAGGAAACAGAATGCATGGTAATATCCAAAACAGCAGCAAATCTTAGTTATAATCTCATTAGCAAAGGTGAAAAGATCAAACTTGTCCAACAGTTTAAATATCTACGATATAATATAATGATAACATCTAATGCCAAATGATCCACTGAAATAGAACGGAGAATTAAAATGGCTAAGCAGGCTAGTTTCAATAAAATTAGCCCAATCCTAAAAAATGGAAACATCTCAATGACTACCACAATGAAAGTTCTGAAATCCTATCTATGGTCAACCCTTGTATGGCTGTGAATGCAGGACAATCACTAAAGACAGTGAATATAAAATAGAAGCAACAGAAAAGTGTTTTCTTAGGGGACTGCAAAGAGTATCAGAAATCAAATGAGGTAGTGCTTGATGAAGCCCTCGTGGGATGCTCACTGTTAAAAACAATCGGGAAACGACAAATGCAGTTTTTGGGACACCTGAATAGACATAAGGGTCTTGAACATCTAGTTCTCACTGGCAAGACTGAAGGCAAGCGAGGCAAGGGTAGGCCCAGAGCAACCTACTTGGGGAACCTAAACAAGTGGGTAACAGAGAAAGATCAGGGAAACGTAGCTTTTTTAACTGCAGGCGAGCAAAGGAATGAATGGAGAGCCATGATCGCCGATGTCTGTCGCAGAACTGGCACTGGATGATGATAATGATGATTTATATCATCTTTGGTGGGCCAATTCCTCTGTGTCGACAAAATCAGTTTAGGCCATCTCAGGTCCAAATTCTGTTTAGAGCAACTGTTAATGAAAGTTTGGTGCTTCCTCTTATCTCATCTCATCAGACTCTGTTTTAACCCTATCCGTAAGCCCTGGGGTCATTTTGTATCCCCCCGGGGTTGTATTCTTCACATTTTAGAATACTTCTAGCCCAAAAATCTCTTTGAAAGTTTCAGTATTTCTCAAAAAAACATTTTGACAGACTGCTATGCAAAGCGTACGGATCGGATTAACAAGTAAATTTCATCTTTGGAAAGTGGTGGCACAGAGTTCCCCACGTCGTATGGATACGAAGTAAAACATGACGTACGGATAGGGTTAAACTGTCTCCATGCCATAGGGGCTTCTTGCCCTCTAGATCCCATCAGCTTATAATCCTACCTATTCTTCTTCAGTTGAGAATATGTACAGTACACTCGACTCCGCTTGTGTTAAACTCACTTGATTTGATCTTCAGTTAAGTTGATCTCTTTCTCGGTCACCAGCACCTTAATTAAGCTTCTTTACAGATCCCAAGGGTTAAATCTTTTTTTTCTCTCCCTCAGCGACATCAACTCTTTCGTATAGACTAGTTCTGAGAGTCTGACATTTTGTGATTCAAATTGAGCGACACAGGGCTGTTTGTATGGCTGGATAGTACTTTACTGATCTCTTGTCATAACAATGGGTAATTATTAACAATACTTGCAGTTTTTTAAAATTCTTGGCTTATTAGTATTTCTCTTTGATTTTTAGACCAACTCATCTCTGGCGGCAGAGTTCTGAAGTTGAATTAAAGGGCTCTGAGATTATTTGATGCAGCTCTCCGAGTTGAGTCTAGATGTGTGTGGGTCTGTGGAGCACACAACTGGAAGGTCGTACTGTTTTTCTTTCCCTCTCTTGTTTCAGCCCTTTTTTTTTGCTTTTTGCCAGAACTAAAAGACAGTTATCATGTTATAGATCTATGTGCTTCTCTTTTCTCAAACTTCCGTCAAGTTGTAGGCCCTGCTTCGTCTTGACAGATGATAAGGCTTCATGTTGCCTTCTCCTTTGTTGTGAGATGAGAACTAATTGCTTACTGTACCAATGTATACAAGATGCTGTTGGTCAAAGATCAGTACCCTTATCTTGATAATTTGTTTGGTTGTATGAATATTGTAAGAGTAAAGAAAAGAGGCACATTGGCACAATGACTGCCATCTATTTTGGGGAAAAAGCAAGAATGATTAACAGAGAAAAAAGGCCTCTGGACCTTTTTACTAAGATCAAAGTGTAGTATCTGTTCCTGACTTTGTGGCCTCGTGTTTGAGTACAAAGAGGGGCGGATACTACAGAAGCTGATGAGGCTTTAATTAGCCTCAATTATCGCTAGTGGATGGTATCCGTTCTCTTAAAAGAAATAATAACAACAGAAACAAAATGGGATGGGCAGAGTTGTCTATTTTCCAAGCAAAGAATAGAATAAATAAGACCACGCTATGCCAGATTCGAAAGAGAAAAAATATCACAGATAACCTCCACCACCACCCCCATCCCCCCCACCCTCCTCCACAACTAAAAAGGGTACTGACCTGAAAACTTTGGAAAGCACAGTAATGTAAAATCTGCAGTGCAATCTATATTCTCTCTTAAAATGAAGCTCTCATGTTCCAAAATGAGTATGCATGTATAGAGGCTTTTTAATTTGACAGTCATTAACCATAAATTTTTTCATCAAAATAGTAGTAACAAACGTATTCATCATCATTACCACCATCCTCATCGCTGTTGTAAGTATGAGTATGATGAGGAAAAACTAAAGTAAGATGGAGACTTGGGTTTTTGAAGTTTTATGGCATCATAAAATATGTTCAAAGCTTCTCTCATCATCATCATCATTGTTGAAAGCATGATAATTTTAAAAAAGCGAAAAAAAAGCGAAAAAATGGTGGGGACTACTAGGGTATTTCAATATTTATGACACTATAAAATAAGTTTTAAGTTCAAAATTCCACCCTGTGGGCTTCACCTGGAACATTAAGTCACAATGGAAACAGAAGTATGCTTACACATACGGCATGAGGCACAATGGTACATGCGAGAAAAATATGTTGGAAAGGCCAAAGAATGGGGAAAGCTATGGTTAGTAGCAGTATAAATATACGCTGAGCATGTACCTTCATATCATATTCATCATGCATCATCACCATCATCATTGTCATGGTCACCATCACTATCACCATTTTCATCATTATCATTATAACAATCCTCATCATCAGCAGCAGCAGAAGCAGCTGAATATTCACCTTTTTCTGACTTGGTTCATGTAACTGTCCCTCTACTGACCCATTTAACTAAGTCAATTATATGTAATGCGTCATTTTGACCATGTCTTAATCGGTCACCCATCAAAAAGGAAACAGTTACATCACGAACTTTAGACTTTGCAATTACAAGTTCTGTCTTAAGGTGTGACCAACGGGTAGAACAAATTTTGGCCTAGTTTGAGATAATAGGACCTGGAACTGAATTTACAAAAATAGATACGATTGTGTCTTATCTTGATGTTTTATAGAGCTTAGGAATTTGCTTACAAAAACAAAAAACCAGTAAGTAAGTCAGAGTATGTGGTTGAGGTGTTTTCCGCTGTAATGTATCTTTTACTAGAGCAACTTCTATAAAATTGCATGTTTGGATTTGAATTTCACAAGAACATGGCGCTTGCTTCTGAGTTGTTGACAGCATAAGTCACAGTAAGCCTTAATTAAGCTCTCTCTTTGAAATCCTGCCTCGTAATGAGTGAAGAGTGTGTTAATAATTATAAGAATTTTAATGACTGCATTTGTTTTAGAGTTGATGTTTTTTTCTGTATAATTTTCCAGAAGCATAATATTTGAGTGTTGCAGAATTGAGGACATTCCAAACTGTGGAGAAGTGCCTGAGACAGCCGGAGACAAAATGTCGTCAGACATGGGAGACGAGAAAGTGGTGGTGGAGAAAGAAACTCCTCAGATGCGACGTAGCTTGTCCCTCTTCCATGTAGTGGCCTTACTCGTCTCCATCACAGGACATGTGGCTATTTTTATCACCCCCGGCTCCATCGTCGAAATGTCAGGGTCGGTTGTGTCTACACTGGTCATTTATGGCATTGGCACATTCGTGGTCTACAGTCTCGCGCTTTGTTTTGCTGAACTCGGAACAATTTTCCAGGGAGCTGGAGGACCATATGTCTACTTGGCTCTCACTTTCGGAAATATATACGGATTTCTTATTGCATGGGGCTACATTGTGCTTATTTCTGGCCCATTTGTAGCCTTTGCCTCTCAAACTGCAGCACTGTACATCATCCGAGCTATCTTCCCCAACATGGACTGTCAGAATAAATGGTATGACTTCAGCATGGTGCTTCTCTCTGGATGGATACTGGGTGAGGGAAGTTTTTTTCCTTTTGTTTTTGGTTTTGCTTCTCTCTTTTTTTAGTTTTCATTTATAGTTTCACATAATGCTATTGCACACAGGGTTTGTGGATGGTTCCTACGGTTTTTCTTATAAAATAAAGTTTATTTTTTTCACTTTCTCTTCACCACATTTTTATGATTGTGGTGTTGATAGTTTTTGACACAGTAGAAAATCAACTTTGTAGATGGTGGAATTTACTTCTCCTTTTCACCCCGTTGGTTCTGTGTTCTGTATCTCTTTTTCCCCTACCAAAATGACAGTTAAGACTTTCCTGTCAGTGAGATATTTACATGTCAATATGTTTGTTTTGCTCTGTTTTGTTTCGTGAGAAAATATACACACCCCCTCCTCCTTCCTCGCCTTTTATATAAAATATGGAATGATACACTTAATATCTATTCTTCGTTGTTGTGAATGTGAACTTCATTTCTCTACACTTTGCATAGCTGGTGGGTAGACGACTCCACTGATACTGATAGGTTCTACCTCAGCTCTTTCCTGGTGTTATTTCTATTGTTCAGTTCTGCTTATTCCGGTCCCTGCTCTTTAAAAAAGTTCTTCTGTTGATGTGTTTTTTTCTCTTTGCTCAAAAAATGTTCCTCAAACCTTTGCTGTGTGGCTGTCACTGGTACTTGATAATAGACTTTCTCCTTTGTGAAGAGGACTCGCATCTCATGCATGCAAGGGCAACTAAGAGTATTTCTATTACACCACAAGACAGTGTGGCTGCTCACAAGGTGTGTCAAAAAAGTTCAGGACAGGTGTCACAAAAGACATATTTCAAGTCCAGAAGCCTAACGCACTTTTCCAGCTTCCTCTGCTCTTCATTCGCTCCTGGAAGGATTCTGTCTGGATTCCCCCACAGTTCCTCATCACAGCCATCTTTGTTTGATTGAGATCATGGGAAATGGTCCTCTCGATGACTCTCAATGAAGAGGCAAAAATCACTTGGAGCCGGGTCAGGTGAGGAAAGAGATTGCTCCAGCACAGTAATGATCTACTCAGCCAGGAACTTTCGGATGCTTGGAGCATTGTGAGCAGATGTGTTGTCGCGGTGAAGCAGAGCCTTCCCTGGAAGAGTACAACCTCACCACAATTGAAGACAGCAAGATTGTCGAAGTCCAAAGTCAAAGTCATGCTGATCGCATTCTTTGATTTGAAGGGGGGCATAGTCGACTGTGAGCTCTTATTTAAGAGCCAGATGATCAACCAGTATGTCTACAAAGAGGTCCTGCGGCGTTTGCTGTGTTCGGTGGACAAGAAGGGGTGAGAGTTGCAATAGGACAACTTATGGCTGCTTCATCATGACAACACACCTTCCCACATTGCCCTGAGTCTGGGCATCGTATAGTTCCTGGCTGAGAAAAACATAACTGTTCTTGAACAATCTCTGTACTTACCCTACCTTGTGCTTTTCCCCCCTTTTCTCCAAGCTCAAGGGGTGGGTGGGAGTTTATCAGGGGGACCCGTTTTGAGGATGTGGACCAAATAAGATGGCTATGCTGACGAATCTCAGATCCCAAAGGAATCCTTCCAGGAGTGTATGTAGGAGTGGCAGAGATGGCTGGATATGAAATACAGGCTTAAATCAAACACAATTTATCCAATATACCAGGATGAAGCCAAAGAAAAGAAAATACCCTATTCTTTTTTCTTCTATTTTAGCAACCTCTCTAAACGGAAAACCAGGCTAAACCGAAGAAAATCCAGCGACCCGGCAGATTTCGGATTTAGCAGACTCTACTGTACATCTTTGGTAACACCAGCCCTGGAACTTTTCTGACACACCTCATGTTCCGCTAACAGGGTTTGCTTGTTTGATTTGGGCAGCAGAAGATATGACTGGTTGGTGAACAGTTATCAAAGGGAAATGTACATGCACTTATAAAGGGGTGGGGACTGTAGGAATGAAGAAACAATGTTCATTTAAAGGGGGGGGGGGGACTATTAGGAATAAAAAACAGTTTACTTATGAAAAGTAGGGAGGGGGGGGGGGGGCTGTTAGGAATTAAGAAACAATCCTAATGGTAGGGTGCAAAACTCAACAAGTGCCAAATACCTCAATGACATTTGTCGGAGTCTTGCATCCAACCATCAAATTAACTTATGAAAGGGAGGTGGCTGTTAGGAATAAGGAAAAAGTCACCTAGGAGGGGGGGGGGGGAGATTGTTTGTTTGGGATGAAGCATGATTTACATGAAAAGGGGGAAAGGGGAGGGGGGGGTGAGAGAGTAAGTGAACCCCTGATCCTTCCTGATGTGGAAAAGCTGATTTTATTGTGTATGTTACTCACAGTAATGACTCTTTGTGTATCCCTGTCCATAACATAGACACGATCATGGTTACAGGAGTTTTGAAAAAGTGAAGTGAGACATTGTTGTATTTTTTCTACTCTTTTCAGTTACTTTATTTTACATGAACTGTTTCTACCTGAAAACTTTGCTGCGCATCCAGAGTATCTTGACGATGTGTAAGATGGTTGCAATAGGGATTGTTATTGGAGCTGGTGTTTACATAATTGCCACACGTAAGTATGTATTTTGACAAACTTTTACTGAAGACAGTTTAGTGGAAGCCTACCGTCAGAAGCTGTGTTAAGCAGGAGTTTATCCTTTTTGGATACTTGAAGAAAAAAGAGATAGAAGCAGGCCCACAACAACATATTTGAAAAGTCAAAATTCTTGGGTATTGATTTGAATCAGGTAACAGTTCAAAATGATGCTTGCTGGCTGAACTCTGGCAATTTGTGCATAGTTATTCCTTCTTTGTTTCTTTTATAGGATTATTTACATAGATACATTTTAAACGGGGAACAAACAAAAAAAAGGTTTGAATAGAAAAAATTAATAACTGACATGATTTCAACAGCTTGGAGGAAACGAACAATATTCAAACTTATATTTTTTATTTCTTCAAATTCAGAAATCCTGGTTAAATCACATTCCCAAACTGAGAGACAGTCTCTAAAATAGCTGTCCAAATCCACAGCATTCAGGCAGAAGGATTGTTGTTTGTTTTGTTCTCTAATGTTTGTTTTTTTCTGCCTTCGTCATCAGCTCGTCAGCCCCCATGTCATGTTTTGTTTTTTTGTTCACGTTAGCTTGTACAAGGGGGGTTCAAGAAGTTTTTGGTCAAAATATGAAGGAATAAATATAGAGCTTTGTAACTTAGTACACCCACTTTTATTTCTATACAGTCACCATGCAGAGTAACACACATTTCTGCCACCTCTGTTTGACCTTCAAAAGTCTTTTAGAGAAAAATGACCCAGACTGAGCCCCTGACCAGTCTTCTACAGCTTCAATGGCGTCCTCGTTGTGAGTGGGTTTTTTTTATTAAGAAACAGAAAAAAGTCTGAGGGGGCAAGATCTGGTGAATAAGCTGGGTGTGGCAAGATATCAAAGCCGTACTGTTCTGCTGTCTGCACAGCTTGTTGTGTCCTGTGCGCAGGGGCATTGTCATGCAGTAGGAAGACCCCATTACAGAGTTTTCCATGCCTTTTTTTCACCAATTCAGACCGTAATTTTATCAGCAAACCAGAGCAGTAGTCACCTGTGACTGTCTTTCCATTTTCCAAGTAGTTAGTCATGAAGATACCTTCACAATCCCAGAAAGACGACAGCATTACCTTTCCTCTTGACAGTGTTACCTTTACCTTCTTTGGTGAGAGAGAAGAAGGGGTTTTCCATTGCGTGGAGGACATTTTTTGTTCTGGATCAAAATGATAAATCCATGTTTCATCTGTTGTCACCATGTTTTTAAAGAAATATGTGTCACTGTCATTGGACTCAATTTCAAGGAAAGTTTTGCAGGACTCAACCCTCTGTTTCTTTTACTCACCTGTCAAAAGGCAGAGTACCCACTGTGCAAACACTTTATTCATGTTAAGATGGTCATGGAGAATCGTTTCAATTGACCCTACACTGAATCTCATTTCACTTGAGAGCTGTCTAAAGTTAAGCGTCGGTCTTGTAGAACCAGTTTCTTCACTATGGATACATTCTCTTCAATTACCACAAAGGATGGGCGTCCTTCACGATCTTCATCCATCACCGACATGAATCAAGATTTGAATCATCTTATCCAGTATGTCTCAGTATTATAACGAGGATATTTGTCACCATAAACTTGGATCATTTCCTGAAAAATGTCCGAAGGGGATTTTCCTTGCAAGTGTAAAAACTTTATAACTAAGCGATATTCAACAGGCTCCATGGCAAAACTTCAGTAAAGAAAAAAAAACGTTTTTGTGCATGGTTTCATTGAACAAGCTCTGACTAGCGCCTTATTAATTTTCAGATTTTCCCAAAAATTTGCATGGTGTGTTCTCAAGAAATTGTCTAAAGGCTGGCGAAATTTCATTACTCTACCATTATTCTTTCATACCCAGACCAAAGACTTTTTGAACCCCCCTTGTACTTTAAAAAAATAATATATTAAAATCTGTAACTTTATACTAAAGCTTAACAGACTTTCTTCTAAATCTCAATTCAGGCATTATGATATTAATTGACGGAAGAATATGTTTGTCTTCCAGAATCTCCAGAAAACTTTCAGAAGCCACTAGAAGGTTCTGTCACCAATCCAGGGCACATCTCTGTAGCTCTCCTTTATGTCATCTTTTCTAACGGAGGATGGTGAGTTGAAGACAAGTGAATATTAGAGTATTGCATTATGGGATGATGTGAGTGGTTAGGGGGTGCCACTGATAGGTCTTACATCTTTCCTCTCCCTGTGTTTTTTCCTACCTGTTGGTCTAACTTTTTCCTAGCACCAGAAGGCTGTCATTGTATTTGTCTTTTCACTCAAGCTTGCAGGATGATAGTGAAAATGTATACGAAGCAGCAGTGCTTTGATACAACTAGTGTAATTGTAATCACCATCTATGCCGAAGTCTTTAAATTTATAATTGATGTAGTCCTTTAAGTTGAGCCTTTGAAAGTGAGAGTATTGTATAAGGCCATCACTGGGTCTGCTGCTGTAATGCTTTTAACCAAAAAAGGCATCTGTGGTGTATTGGTTTTAGTTCAGTTTTATCATCCATTCAGATTTTAGCCCTACAAAATGTACAAAGTATACAGGTAAAAACAAAGACATAATATGGTAGGCTTTTCACTGTTGCATTTAAAAGATATGAGATAAATTCTTGAATGGAGAAGTTATATATAGAGTACTTCCGCCTGTCTTTGGGATACTGTTTTATACTCAGCCCATGTTAGCCCTGACACTCAGGGTCAAGGCATATAACAATATGTATATGTGCCACGACGTTGTGGAATCAGGCGCTCGTCAATTTTTTGACATATAAATGTATTGATATCACCTAAAAGCTTGTTCATTTGTCTTGCATTTGGTGAAAAAATCATCTTATCTATCTTCAGTAGAAGTCGAGATATTCCAGATTGAAGGAGGTGAGACCACTTGGTTTCAGAAGTAAAATTAGACAGAAAGTGGCGGCGAAGGTTTGGTGAACTCCAAAGCTTGAAAGTCTATGGAAACTTATTTACATTTTTTCTGCCATTAACCCACTAAGCTATGTGTTTTTAATGGATGTAAAAGGTTTTAAGCCAAAAAATTAAAATATTGATAAAAATACCATCTTTCCTTGATTTCATTATTATGACAAGCGCCTGATTTCACCATGATGCCTCACATATGATTTTTCTTGTAAAAGATTTACAATCTGAGATGAAAACTTACACGTATTGTTAAATAAATTCTCAAAAATTGAAATGATAAGAGGTGATCAAAGGGCACCACTGGAATGCCCTTCTTTTTTTCTTTTGCTCTCTTGTTTCTATTTCTATTTGTTTGTCTTACTTTTTAGCAGCTCGAAACGACCAAGATCATGTCAGTATGCTTCTGTTTACTGATACAAAATGTGGAAGTGATAACACACACACATAAGTCTGACTTTTTTTTCCTTTTCTTTTCAGGCAGGCAGTCACAACTCTCACTGAGGAGGTCAAGAATCCTGCTCAGTAAGATCTTATAGCATAGCAAAATCATCTCTTTACATTTTGCAGAAACATTCTTGTGGGTGGTTGGCGGGCGCTTTTGTGTGGTTTGCTCCTTCTTTCCTATCAAACATTTATCGTCCTGATCTCTTCTCCTTCTTTTTTTGTGTTTGTTACTCTCTTGTGACATCTCTAATCTTTGACACTAATATGTGCTTTCATTTTGAAAAATTTTATGAAATCTTTGAAAAGCTTCAGAATTTTCAAGAAGACGTCAAGTAGCTCTACAGTCATAAAAATGGGTTTTTTGCTTGTTATGATAATGCAGTGGTGTTCATAAACTGTGTCATCTTGTCTGGTTTTCATTTTCTTTGTTTGCCTATTCCCAGTAGGATTGGGGTGGGGGACTATCATGGTCAAGAGGTATGCTGTTCGCCAGCGATGAAAAAATCTTGTTCTCTAAAATGTTCTCCTGTGTCCTACTTTCCCGTTCTCTAGTCCTATTCTGTCATCTATCTTTCTCTCCACCTCACCACCGCACGCTCCACCTCTAGCTCCCCCTCTTTTTTTCTAGCTTTCCAGGCTGCTCTGTTTTGATGTTTGTGCAGTGTTGGATACTTGTAGAATTTACAATAACTCAGTTAACTAACAGATTAAAATTGAATTCTACGAAGTAGTAACTTTTGATAATGTTGATGGCAGAAAAAAATTTTGTTCTTCTTCTTTTTGGGGGGGAAGGGGGGGGGGGGACTTCATCAAGTGGTATAGCTGTTAGAAATTTTATTTAGTACATATATATGGTACACTGTAACTAGAGGGTGCGGTGACAGAGCGGTTAGTGCGCTCGTCTCCGAAGCGAATGTCCAGGTTCAAGCATCGGTTCGAATACAGATTTTTTTCGCCCCCTCCTGTCCACCCAGCAGTTATGGGTACCTGACTTAGAATTGGGGAAATAAAGGCTGCATGGAAAGTAACTGGCCGACCCACCACCATATGCCGAAGGCCCAGGAAGTTGTCTCACTAACAAGGCAATCCCCAATGTCCAGATCCGATGCGGGAATAACTTTTCTTTTTACACTGTAACTATACACATGAACTGATGGATGTTTGGAGGGCACCACAGATAGGTCCTCTTTCTTTTGTTTCGTTCTGTTGTTTTCATTATTCTGTCTTCCTCTTCCCTGCTTTATTCTATCATCCTCTTCCCTGCTCTACATTACTATTATTGTATTGATGTTCTTCTCTTTACTCAAGCAAACAACTCAAAACTCAAAGCACTGTACGGTGATTATTATGTTGGTGTGCTTTTTTTTTTCTTTTAATATAGGCGTTTTATGACCCCATAGACTCAATTTAGATCTTTCAAGAAGTGGGCTTCCAACCTTGCCTGTCATGCAAGGCTAAGCCGGGCTGTGACTGTGATGGATACAATATCCCACAGTGTCGAGACACATATGTTCAAAGCAATCTGTATATGTCTTTTTCCCAGAACCCTGCCTCGTGCTATACAGCTGACATTTGGCATCAACATCGTGCTCATTGTCCTGACGTACATTGCGTACATGTCCGTCCTTGACATGAGTGAAATTGTGGAGACAAGGGCTATTGCTATTGTGAGTACAAGAGAACACTCTACTGGAGTGGGTGGTTGGCAGGTGCTCTGGTGTGGTTTGCTCCTTTTTACCTGTCAAACATCTATTGCCCTTATCTCTCCTCCTTTTGTTTTTTGTTTCTTACTCTCTTGTGACTCCATTATCCTTGGGATCTTATATGACCTAACTGTGTTGCAAGTGCAGTAAAACTCTTACTAGAAAAACACTACAGGACACATGTTAACCCAGTCACAGTGGTGAAGGATGGGAGGTTAGCGGGTGTCTCTTTGAACCATAACTCTGATGATCATGGTTTGAATCCAAAGCAATCCATTCTTCAATCCTACAATGCTGAAGTATTTTCATTTGCATTTGTACGGACAAGACAAAATGTTCATTTAAGAGAGATTTAAACAAAGCCGCCATGTTATATTTCCCCTTGTTAAGAATAAGAAACTGCACAAGTTGCAAGCATATCTTCCAAAATGTTCACTCTAAACCAGTAGAAAAAATGTCAGTGAACCGGTTTGGGAGAACACAAGTGAGTACATGCATCTACACGTACACAGCAGAGACTGTTATGGGATGTTTGCAAGTTTCTGTTGATTTCATGCTGGACCACAATTCAGATGACAATGGTTTGAATCCCTAACGGGGCTTTCTTGAACTTTGAGTGTTTAGGCAGCTTGTAGTTCTCAACTCAATGACCTCCGCCCTATCGTAGATGGATGCTACATCGAAGGTCCCACCATGAAACTCATGTCATAACCAGGCGCAGTTCGTCCATAGAGCACGGTCGTACAGTGCCCCCCCCCCAAATTTTTTAATGTTCTATTACGTAAAACTCCTACAATAATAAAATAAAAGAAGCCAGAAACGAACACTAGCCAAATATCACATCAAAACAAAGGTCCTCACTGGCGCCATAACAGACATTTCTATGTCTATAGCACAGTAAAACATATCTACTATGCCGTGCTAAAGTCCACGTGCTTTAGCTGAACAGAAAAGGATATTCAACAGTGTAACCTGAGCTATAAATCATTGGGGATAACCTAAGCGATGACGACACTCGTAGCGAGTTTGGCGGTACATTAATATTAATAAGCCGGCACATCTCAAATGTGCTCCTGCCGAACAGTGCCAAAACAAAGCCCACAGTAGGCAGTCAAAGAATAAACACGATAGACCCTACACTATTCTTTGCCAGTATTATGTGAGCCCCGGAGCAATCCAGCGGAATGCTCAAGTGAATTGTGATTGGTTCATTGTTTGTCTTGCCACTATTTTAAGTGATTCTGTAACTGTGAACCTGAGGGAGGTGAACATGACTCGCAAGCAGCCAATTAAGCACTGAAACACTAAACAACTGACGAGATCGTTCACTGTCTATAGCTGGGTACCCATTCTCACCTGGGTGATGTGGGAAAAATTTGTGTTAAATGCCTTTCCCAAGGACACAGCGTCCGACCCCTGACAGGAATCCAACCCACAATCTTACAGTTGAGAGTCTGAGATCCTGTCCACTAAACCACAGACACCACAGAAGTGTGCCATACAGAAGATTTCGAAAGTCTCAGGTACCGGAAGGCTGATAGTGAAAAAACATCTGAACATCTGAAGCCCAGCCAAATCTCAGCTTCTTGTGTATACTTTATTTTTACCAATTCAAATATAGGTCCGTTGGCCATGTACGAAGTTTTCACGTTCTTTTCCAGCTGTTTTGTCAACGCGTGTGGGAACCCCTGGTTCCTGTCGTGTCTGCTCTTGTGGCCTTGGCTTGTATCGGAGCCCTCAACACAGGACTCATGGGACATTCCAGGTGAGTTCACTGTGGTACTTTCTCACAAGTGAGGTGTGTAAAAACTAGATGAATTTTGAAAATTATATCCGTAAAGAAGATTATTGTGTAAAAATCATTTACATAAGAAAGAAGATAGCTTTTTTTTAAAAGTTATATAACATAAAGAAGATTTTTTTTTTCAATGATGGATTTAAAGGAGATAGGTTGTGTTTTTTAAATTAGAATCATATAAAAGTGATAGATGTTAAAAAATGTTGTACAAAAAGAAGGTAGATTTTTTAAATAATTTGTACATAACAGAGATAGATCTTTAAAATTGAGGTACATATAATTTATTAGAATTATTGGAAAGAGATTACATAATTTCCCCTCCACTTGGGAAATTAGTCACACTGACATAGTGCATAATGTTGCTGTAAGCTCATACTTCATAGTCACTGTCAATATACATTATCTATGTACCTACCTACATACCTGCCTACCCACCCACCCACTTACCTACCTACCTATCTACCTACCAGGCGACTAGAAAAAAAAAATTGTCCAAAAGAAAACCGCTGAAACCGTTATGAATTAAATTACAAACAACAAAGTTTGCAGAAATGGGGTACATCCATCTGCATTTATTCTGTCATAATAACGATAAAATATGACAGCTACAAAGAGAGTTACAAGATATCTTCCGGATACCCCCAATTTTGAGTAAAACACATTATGACGCGCTGAGTGAAATTGACAATCATCCATTGACAATGCTGAGGAGAAATCTCTCTTGTGCCCTCCAAGATAGTTTCTCTCAAGTCTTGGAAGTTTCGGTTTTCCCACACACCTTGTCCTTCAAACACCCCCAATAGTGAAAGTGCAGTGGACTCAGGTTCGGATCTTTTGGGGCCCAGTTGTCCTCAGTCAGACTGACTGTTCTGTAACCAAAATTGTTACTGACCCATCGCAAAACAGCTCTGGCGTTATGATGAGAAGCCAGGTCTTGCTGAAAGTTCTGGTTCTGTCTCCCTTCATCATCAATAAATAGTTACAAGCTTCTCCAAAATTTTAGTAAGATAACAAGGTATCGGTCAGAGCTTCTCAAATCACCTTTTCAAGAGTGTGTTGTTTTAATAAGCTGCCTACTGTGTTACTCGGGGCTTAGAATTTGAGTTCTGTTCTTCTATAGATCCAAACCTTTCTAAATTTGCAGCCCATTTCAAAATGAACCCTTTGCTTGGAACATCATGTTTGTTACAGATATCTGTCCCATATGCCCAAGCAATATAATGCACCCATGTAGATTTTGGAGATTTCGTTTGTTGATACATCTTCACTGCAAAACCATAATGTACAGGGGTGAGCTGTATTATCATCTTCTTGTTGTGCAACAGCAATGAACTATTTAAAAAACGATATAATCTGAATGTATGTAGCTTTAGGTCAATTTTGTTGCAAGTGGGATCATTAACAAGAAGGTTGTTAACATTTCTTTGAAAGAACTGTTTTCCTTTTCAGGTGGTACCTGGTAGTTTTTTTACGAAGCTAACAAATTTTCTGTTTTCATTGGTGTCTCTGAATGCCATTGAATTTGTTGTGGGAATTGTGGATGCATTATTTTAAAGTGAAAGAGAAGTACATTTTTCTTTTTCTCTGATGTTTTCACTTCTTGAGGTTTGATAAATTTAATCAAATATGAAGTGGTTAGATAGAAAAACTGACTCGGCCCCTCTTGGAAAATACAGGCCGGCAGATTTTTGCCACCAAGATATAACCTTTGACATGAGAAGGAAACCGATTTCATCTTTCCAGGTAAGCTCACAGTTGAAAATCTTCACAAACTGGGAACGGTGAACTGCGGAGATGTATTGGTTCACATCAAATCTTCAAAGTGAAAAGACCATTGCTTCCAATCTTTGTAATATTTTTAATTTTTTGCAAACATTTCACCCTTTATCTCTCCTCCCCTCCTTGCGACTGATGTGTTCTGAAGGTGGCCAGAGCTTGGTAAATGCTTGGTTTTGCTAGGTGCTCATTGCTTCTTTTCCGTCTTTCGCCGCATCTATCTTCATATGAGATAATTACAGGAAAATATACTGTTGAACAACAACAACAAATCATTTAGTTAATTGTAGCTTTGGAAATCTTGAAATTGGTAGGGCCTACCTTTTATGTTGTTGCATTGTGTCATTATCTCACTTACATAATGACTGCTCAGTGTAACACTGCGTCATGTGTTACTTTTCAAAATGGCATATATATGGAAGAGTCTTTTACCAAGCAGTGGGTAAGTATTCAGAACTACCATTCTTGATAGGCTTTTCAGCCAATAGAAAACTTGACACTGACAACAGTTATTATGGAAAGATGTTTGATGTCCCAACTCCTTTTAGGATCCTCGCTGGAGGAAGGAAAGTGATGTTGTGCCGACAGGATGTCAGATACATAAGTTTAAGAGCTTGAGAAACAGACAGACAGAGAGAAAGAGGTATAGGGAGAGATAGACTATGCAAATGAGTTTGCTGATGCGTGATAATGTGCTTTAGAGACAGAGAGAGAGAGAGATACGTGGGAGAGAGACTATGTAAATGAGTTTGCTGATGCATGCATGATGTGCCTTAGGAAGGAGAGGGACTCGTCTCCACCTTTGTTTGCTCAAGCAGGTACATTTTATTTTTTAACATTTTTTGGGGGAGGTGGGGTAATTGAAAATGTCCTAGTCCCTATCCCTATGGCCACAGTTAAGCTGATGTGGGAGGTCTGCTGTAAGCTGACAAAACGCAATTTTTTATTCACAGCAGTTTTGAGAAAAAAGATTTTATTTTTTCAGATTTACCTTTGAAAAATAGTGTGCTTCCAAAATTTCAATTCTAATTTATTCAAAGACTAGTCACAGTTTCACTTTAATTTTTTTTTCACACAAATAGGGTAACTAATCAGACTTTCGATTATATATATATATGCAAAGAAAAATTTGGGGTCCAAAATGAAAAAAGGCGTTCTGTCCGCTTACGGCAGGGTGGGCTGTATGTTTGTGACTGTTTTGCTTTGCTGTACCTCAGGGTGCTCTACGCCGCTGCTCGTAAGGGAGACATGCCAAGTGTCCTGGGAACACTTCATCCCACCAGCCGCACGCCCATGGTGGCTGTCTTCGCCATTGTATGTACCTTAGGAGAAGCTGTTTTGCATGTACTTTAAAAATCTGTGTTTTAGTTGTGTCATTTTTTATAATATTAGAATTGTCACACCTGTGGATAAGCTGCCAAACTCTAGCATCTGCATTTGTCACGGCCGCGACCCCCGAATGGTGGCCGCGATTTTTGGCATTTTTTGGTCCATGAATCGCGGCCATGATTTTTGCCTTTAAAAAAAACAAGAACAAAAAAAAAGAACAAAAGAAACCAAAAAAATAAAATAACACCGGCGGGGAACAAAGATCGAAAAAAGGGAATAAATTATATTGAAAAAAAAGAAATCGAACCTCTTTAGTACTTCACTTTTAGAAAGAAAGTTTATTTTCACTTCCTCTTCACTTCGTCGCTTTCTCACGCGTTGACACCACGTTGATTTGTTATTTTCATGTGCAAATATTACTGCATTACTTCCTTTTAGATTTATATATATTGCTTTTTCTCTTTTATTTTTCCTTCTTTGCTGTGTTTTACTTTGTTGGTGTGTTAATTTTTTTTTTCCATTATTATTCTGGTGTGTTGTTTTTTTATTTTTTGGTAGCAACTTTTATGGCAACTTTTTCCATTTTTGTGGCAACTTTTGGACGAAAAAAATGGCAACAAACGCAGATGCTAGCAAACTTGTAATAGCAGTTGTTATGTATGTACCTCAAAAGCAACTTTTTCAAATAGTTTTATTAATCTGTTTTATTCTTATTTAATTTGATTCGATTATTCATTTGTATTGCCTCAGGGATTGATATACAGCCCTTCAATAGCAGAGAATGAAAGAGATAAAAAGATTTAGTTCAATTCTCTCAGCCAAAATATGGAAGTAAAGTCAAACTATTTTTTCCTGAGCACTGACTTTTTTTCTTCTAATCTTACGAGTTGACAAAGTATCAGTCTTAATGAAATCCTACGAAAGATTCTCTTCTGATCTTGACATTATAAAGCACCTTCTTTTCTCCTTTTTCTTTTCACAAAGTAGGGCTGCTCAATAGAACACTTTCAAAGTACTACAAGAAGTGGTTTGTGGTAGTACAGATGTAGACATTTCTGTTGCTTTAATTTTTAGGATCGGAGAAGTTAAAGAGATTGAGGAGGTGAATCGATGAAACTGAATAAGATGTTTCCTGTTGCTTAACTGTTTTCAACTTCCTCAATTTTGATTAAGTAAAACTCCCTACAGATTTCTCGAAAGGGACATTTAGCTTGTTTGTTGTTTACCAGCTGAGCAATGTTATGTGTGTGTGTGGTTGGCAGTTGCTGTGGTGTGGTTTGTTCCTTCTTTCTTATCAATCGTCTATCATCCTTATCTCTTCTCTTTTTTTTGTTGTGGATTGTGACTTTTTTGTAACACCTTTCATCTTCGGCTCTTATATGACCTAGTTGTGTTGCTTGTGTCGTAGATCTCTTACTACACTAGACTAAATGTTATGTTTTTGCCCACCTCGTAGTTTCTGCCACTGAGCATTTTGATTCAAATTGGTGCTGTGGTGGTGAGGTTTTTCCTTCTCGCTTGCTTGGCACTCAGTGTTCATCCATTTCTCTGCTGCTTTGCCTACATGTTAGATGATTGGAAAAGACTAGGATACTAGCAGGTTTTTTGAGAACTTTTGAGCAGAGAATAAAGTGTCGAACCATGACTGCGAATGTCATATTTCATATTTGGCACTTGAAAAAAGAGATGATGTCATATTTCATATTTGGCTCTTGAAAAAGAGATGATTCATATTTCATATTTGGCTCTTGAAAAAGAGATGATTCATATTTCATATTTGGCACTTGAAAAAGGAGACGAAGACTTGTTGGGAAAGGGGTGGAGTTTTGTTTAGTTTGAGTAAAGAGAAGCATATCAACGCAATGATAGTTGTTTAGTGCTAGAAAAGAACAAGACCAAAAAATATGAAAGTCACAATGAGAGTGAAGAAGAGGGCGGTTAAATAAAGTATGGTTTTTTCCTCTTTCATGTGGGAGTTGTGAAATCATTGGTACAGATTTTAAAAACCAACGTACTCTGCGTTTAGGTCATTCCTTTTTTCTTTTAAGACAATATATTAATTTTGGTTGTCTCTGAGGCTTTTGTATGAAGGAATGGTGCTGCACACCTCTCATGCAAGAGCATCTGATGTTAACCTAGGTTCAGGCACACCATTACATCAAACAACCCTGGCTCAAATCATCATTGAGGTGTGTTTTAACTTGAGCTGTTTGGGAAGCTTTTAAGGCCCTCCACTTACTTGGCTCAGTTCTGTTGGTGATTGACATTAAATGTGGAGGTCCCTCCTCTTTCATAAATTTAGAGCGCTTAAAGGGAAGTTAAAGTTGAACCCATACAATAAGTGTAATGCTGAGTTCATGCTGGGGAAGACAGTGATTAGTTTAGTGAATATTTCCTTCAGGGTTTTCATTACTTTGTTCTTAGGGTAGGCTTTTTTTGTTGTTGTTTTGTTTTTTAAATAGATCTCAAACCTGTGCTGCACATGGAAACAGACTCAAAAGTTAGATAGTGTTTTAGTTTCTGAGGTCGACAGTCAGATTGAAAATGTTTTTGTTCATCTCTTTCAAATTTGTGGGAATAATGATAAAAATAATAATAGTTTCATTTGTTTACCAGTAGTGCATATCCACTCTCTACACCATGCTCTACCATATTACTCTATGCACTTTACAACCATTATTGCCCCAGCAAGCCATAGAACGCTCCGAACTCTCAGAATGCGCTAAGTGCCTTTGTGTGAAGAGATGGGTTTTGGCTTTTTTTGGCTTGAGCTTGCTGTCATTGTTCACTGATCCCATGATCCACGAGGATCATAGGGACGCTGTATGACAGAGCCTCATCAGGTGCCTCCACTTTTCCCTTTTTTTTGCGTTCACCTAAGTTTGGGCGAAGGATTTCCCTGTCCACTCTGCAATGTTGTAGGCCTGCTTCTTTCTTTGCCTTCTTCTATCCTTTGTTGGGTCTATCATACAGTGAGTCTTGGCCTGGCGAAGCCTGCCAGTGCCCATCCCTCTCCAGGCTGAGCCACAGCCGACTTCCTCAAATACCTGGGGCGGGGCTCGCCTTGACCTCAAACACGTGGCCATTGTCCTTTATCTGGGAAGTCAACGCCTTGGCCGGTGCCTAGGTGCTTTTTGTTTTTGTAATGGTTTTACGGCGCTCGCAACTGCATAAGGTCATATGAGCGCCAAAGGGTGGATGTCAACAGAGAAGTCCAAATGGGGAATCAGGCTTACACTGCTCACTTCTCAAGCATCAACAGCACAAAATCTGCTTCGACTATCAAGGCACCCCGGAAATAGCAGTTCACAAGAGAGTAACAAACATACAAAGAAGTAGAAGAAAAAATGACGATAGTAAGGATGAGGAAAGAAAGAGCAGTAGTTCCCCTTATGTTGTTCGGTCACAGTATGAGCATGACCTTGATAAATCAGCCCATTTACAATTCTACTGTGCTTAAGAACATGTTAATATCCCCCTTTTGGGAATGACCTAAAGACACTTCTGTCAGCAGCACTGCCCTGGGGAAGTTGCCTAGGTGCAGGTCACACACCCAGTGGTGCCGTGTTAACACCACCCCCTCACATGGTTTTGCACGCCTGCTGAGGTGAGGTCTCAGGGTGTGGCGCTTGGAGCCAGCATGTGAGAGATTAAGGGAATGGGGGAGGACCAGTGCGCCCGTCCTTCCTACTCATATTAGCAGGAAGCAGCAGTCAGACTACAAAGGTCCTACCTCTCCCCAGAGCCCCCTAGACCCCCTTGTGCTTGCAGGTAGTAAAAAATCGTGCCAGTGTTCAAGTATCTCATGAATATGCGGCCTCCTGCTGTGCCCTATATGAGAATTTTAAGATTTATTATATTCTTTTAAGAACGGGGGAGGGAGGGGGGGAGATGTGTGCTTAAAAATTAACTTTCCCATTAGTTAGCATGGTTCTTTGCATCAATGTAGTGCTCACCTGATTTTGCACCTGTTGCTCCAGTTAAATGCACTAGTGGTCACTTTGTAAGACATTTCATACACAGAAGATCCTCCAAACGCCAACCCCCCTCCCCTATTTTGTCATTGCAGTCTGTCTTTTTTCAACTTTCGGCCACTGAGATGGTTTCGATGTTGACATATATGACCTCCTAGGAAACTAGATTCTGTTCTCAATTTTTAGATCAGGATTATGTAAAACAGAGAAGAAAGAATTAGTAATGGAATGGAAAAATAAAATAGATTTGAATTACCATCCATGCCTGCATAAACCAGGACGCAAACCATGTACTTCAACATGAGAGCTAAACCTAAACACCTTCGATCATCACTTGTTGGGTAATGGGCGATGCCTTTTGGAGGATCGTTTCAGTTTGGTTCGGTTCATTTTCTGACCAGTGCACACTATAAATAGTTCCCTGCCTCAAACCTATCACCCAACTCGTGGCCTAGAAAAAATATGTGTTTGTTCTCAAAGGTCACCGTCGGTTTTTGTTCTGTTTGTGCCATGCTGGTAGCTTTTTTCCCTCCATAGAGAAAAATCTGGCTAGCTCCAATTACCAAACCAAACCAAACCGAATCGATCTTGCCACTGGGAACTGGGTATAACAGGCCCCCTGTCTTGTTGGCTAACTGCACATTCAGACCAACGATCCCCATGTCTGTCTTCGTCATTCAGTAAGAGGGTTATATCTCTCCTGCTAGTGTTCAGACTGCAGTCTCGCGTCTGCGCATTGAAAGGAGTTGACGTCCTTCTGTCTAGCTTACTTTTCAGCGGTCATAACATTTCTTGCCTGAAGTCCTGTACGGTGGGACAAGTTCAGCCAGACAAATTTTTTAATAAAAAATTTACTGTTGAAATGGTTAGATTTTATTTCATATTCGTACTCTTGGTCAAATTTTGATGCGAATACATATCTTATATAATAAAATTTGACCATGGTTCGTGGGTTATCGAGATATTTTTTAAATAGACCTGTCGTGCCTCCTCAATTTTGCCCCAGGTGAAAAAAGCACTCCTACAAATGAACAACGCGTTGCCTTATGAACATAATACTCCTAGTCAGCTACCATGCATTACACAGATGGATGGATGTGGGTCTTTGGTCTGAATACGCTTTAAGTCCCCCCCCCCCACCCCCCCACCCCACCCCTATGTGAAAAACATAACACAAAGTCTTAATTTATTTCTCATCGACTAAGGAGGCTCCTTATGTGAACAGATATGACAACAAAGTTTAATTGCACTTGCCATTTCTTCAGACGACCTACGGAGGTGTGATGGCGTTAACAGGGGCCACGACTCTCTTCATGCAGTTCATCGGGCTCTACTCTCTCATCATGGGACTCAAGGTCGTGTTAGCTCTTCTCTATCTGAGGTACAAGAAACCCGAACTATCTCGCCCATATAAGGTACGTGGTTTATTGGCTCATGTCATGCCCGCATAATGTACAACGATTATTAAGTCATATACTTGGAAGTGCTATTCTTGGCAAGCAGAAATAATATCTTGAATTTGTGTGTGGTGGTATCACATGCCAGGAAACAAAGTAACAAAATTACTCCCAGTTGTCAGATGACACACAAACAAACGCTGCTCACCAGTGGTATGATTTATTAACATTTTTGACACTGTAAAATTTTCATTTTTCTTTTGGCAGTCATCTGTCAGTTACATATCGTTACCTCAGAACAATTTTGTCCAAAGTGTACTTAAGTAAAGAGTGCACTTTGGACCTAAATAGTTCTGAGGCGACGATATGTGTCTATGCAATTGCAAACAAAATTTCTCCTGGGGAATCTATAAAAATGGAATTTTAATTCTAATTCTATTTCGTTTTTTGTTTCTGTTGTTGTGTCTCAGGTTCCAATTTTGTTCCCGTTGCTCCAAGTGGTTGTCTGTGTGGGTCTCATGTTCCTGATCTTGGTCCAGGAGCCGGTGTCCATGTTCGGAGGTTTGCTCATCTACCTAGCAGGTGAGTCTATCACTGTGACCT